GAACATACTTGTGTGCTATAACTGGGTCAGAAAAAGCTGCCTAGGTGTAGCAGTAAGTCTGGAGTTAAGAAAGGAAGGTAACTGACTTGGAATTAACCAGGCTGCCTCCAACTTAGACTAGGGTTGGTTTATTTGCTTTCTCCTTCCCTGACTACTATTTTGTTGTCCTTTTGTCGTCTACTATTTCTGCGGTCTTCTCCAATATGCTTATGGCTAGAATTTTGTCCTGCATTTTCTCCCTGGTTCTCTTGTTTACCTTTCTCATTCTCCATGGTTGTAGCCTTCTGTAGCTTAAGTCATTGGTCTCTTCTTATTGCCAGTTTTGATTACTAAGTACTAGATCTTTATTTCTAAATAACAATTTAAAGCAAAGTATTACTGCCAAAGTCATATATATGTAAATTTAAATATATATAAAATATTTATAAATTTACATACAAGTATAAATATGTATAAAATATATAAATTTTTTTAAATGTCAAGTAGTTTGATAAGATATACAAAATAATAATAACAAAAGTTCTCTACCCTACTGCTTTCAATTCATACTATCCAAAGGCAGTCACTTCAACTCTTAGCTATTTCTTTAGTATTTTCTCTAGTATTTTTAAGAAACCTATTAAACATATTTTTCTTTGTTTTAGAATGTTGTATTCCTACTGTGAAAGGTGAGAAAAACCAACAGACACTGCCAACCTCCCACTTCCTTTCACCATCCTCCTAACCTAGTATTACAACTTTTAGTTAGATCAGTTTTTAATGTGTATGTTCTAGTGACTATGTAAACAGTATTCATGACTGGACTGTATTGGGTACTATGAATACATTTCTTGTAAAGCTTTTTGCTTGTCCTGGAGTTAATTATATGGTCTCACTATTTGTCCTCTTAGTCTTCATCATTCATCCCCCAAACTCTGTGCCAGAAATGCAAATCTCTCAGTATGTTGAAACCTGTCAGGCATTCTATCAATACTATCCTCCGTGTATGTGTGTGTGTGTGTGTGTGTCGTGTGTGTGTGTCACGTGTGTGTGCACACGCTCACCTGCACACGTGCCCTCTGCCCTTTTGCTCCAATCTTGGCACTTTTCTTTATGATTTTTTTAGGGATTCTCGCCTATGTTGTATCTCCTTTTTGCTGGATCCCATGTTTTCCTCACCCCCCACCCCTAAAGTGTTTTGGTGAAACACTTTCTCCTGTGGCTTCTAGGAGAAATGTGCATGAGGTAATATTTTTGCTCTTTCATATATTTGAAAATGTCTTATTTCTGTCCCACGCTTGATTGATAGTCTGTATATGGGTAGAATTCTAGACTGGAAATAATTTTCTCTCAGTATTTTAAAGTTATTACTCTGTTTTCTTTGAGCTTTCAGTGCTGTTATTGGAAAGCCCTGTCATTTTGATTTCTGTACATATTAGTTATCTATTGTTGAATAACAAGTTGCCACAAAGCTTAGAGACTTAAAATAGAAATTTATCTCGGTTTTTGTGGGTCAGGAATCAGGTATGACTTAGCTGGATGCCTGGCTCAGGTCTCTCACGAGGCGGAAGTCAAGGCGGGTTGCAGCCATCTCAAGGCTCAGCCCAGGGAGGGTCTCTTTTCAAGCTCACTTATGTCAGCAGGCTTAGTCTTCACCAGCTATTGGCTGGAATCATTAGTTTTACGTGGGCCTCTCCCTAGGACTCCTCACTACATGGCACCTTGCTTCTCTCACAGCAAGTTCTGCAAGAAAGCTCAGATTGTGTTTATGACCCCAAAACACTTAAGACAAAATTCCTTTATTGGTGTTTAGGAAGTGATTTGGCAAAAGTAAGAATAGTTTTACAAGAAAAGTAATACAGTGCCTACTTCCATTATTTCTTTTTCTACCTCGGTGCCCTGTCCCTAATCCAAGGTGACCTAGGGTATCCTTCTGCTTACCTGTCTTACTATTTTAATTTGTCCGTTGGTTCATTCGTGAAATCATTCAAATATTTATTAAGCCCCTGTCTTTGTGCTAGCCACCAGCTAGAACTCACGTTTTTATACAGTGTGCTGCCGTCAGAATCCACCTCTTGTTAATGAGGGAACCACCACAGATGTGGCTCTCACCAATGTGCAGGCTGACTTGCCAAGGCCAGTGTCCCACAGCAGCATCCTGGCCACCCATAACACGGCCTGAGTATATGGGTCGTCCGCACACTAGAAGAGGAGGAGAGAGGGAAATAGGGATTTGGGTGTCCTGTTGTCCCATCTTCTCATCATCCCCAAACTCCTATTCAGTCCTAGGACCTGAGTCCTCCCGAGCCTCCATACGCCATCCTATTTCAGTTCCAGAGCCAACAGTCTTGGGCCCAAATAGAGACCACTCACCTGACTGCAGATCTTTCTTTTTGGAAGAAGAGCTTGGGCAAGACCCTAAGACAGACACACCACACTGTCAATATTTAATAACACATCATATGTAAATTCACTGAACATAGAAGCTTTCTACATATTTAAATTGCTCAGATTGATATTAAAGGCCGTGTTTTTATAAATGTTTACCCATTAGTGGGAATCTTGATAATTATTATATATGTACCTGCCAGATTTAGTGGCATACATGGAACATAATTTAGTTTTACTTGATGATTCAGGGTCATCATCAGGAATATCAAGATGTTAAGTTGTAAATACAGTGATGCTTTCAGATGCTTTTGAGGTTTATAGACTGTTTACTTTTATCCTGTTTTATTTAACTGAATTGGCGTTTGCGGTATTTGTATATCTTTCTTTTTTGCCACCTGTTACCTTTTGGCTACTCTCAGCCTATTCTGCTTTTAAATCACTGTGGGCCAGAAAAATAAATGAACAGGCTTATGCCTGAAATCACTGACTAGCATTTACACCTCCAGTTCCCTCTGCTTGAAATGCTCTTTTCCTAGAACCTTTTAGCTAACTCACTCATCTTCTTCAGGTCTTCGCTCAAATGACTGTTTCTTGACGAAACCTTCCTTGACTCTTTAAAATTACAACATGCCTCCTGTCCCTGCATTCTAGGTGCCTCTTTTCTCTCATAGTATTTATTACTTTCTAACGTGCTATAGAATTTACATATTTAATATGTACATTGATTATAAGCCCCACGAGGGCAAGGATCTTTGTTTTGTTTACTACTGTAGCTAAGAGACTTGGAAAGGTCCCTGGCATATATCCGCTCAGGACTTTCTCAGGGCACACTATTCATAAGATCCTGTGGGTGAAGTGTCATATTATTCTATCTGATAACATCTTGAGCCAAAAACTTCTCCCTCTGCCTTCCCCTCCCCACCCTAGGGGCTCACCCAACAGAAGGGACAATAGGAAGGCACGGCCAGCAGGGCCCATGTCTCTTTCCTCAGAATCGGCACTTCCTGCTTCCTGGACTCAGGCTTCCTGCTTCCTGGACTCAGGCTCCCAGGCAGAGGCCAAATGGGGAGCAGCAGGGGGCATGCAGCTTCCACAAGATAGTTTCCTCTACTTCACCCCTTCCTCTCCTTTGGTCTTTACTCAGAGCCAGGCACTGAAGAGACCAGACTTTAGAAGAGCAGCAGTATGACCCTGGGGGAGGAGTTGGGGCTTGAGGTGCCCCCTGCTGTTTAGGGAGAGCAGGGTGTCTGTGGTTTCTGTCTGCCTGGTGGGGTTGGGGTGGTAGGTGCCTGTCCAGGCAAGGTAGAGGGCACTGAAAAGAACAAGACCCCGTTCTCTAGCAAGGAAATGGAAAAATGATAGGATTCTTCAAAAGCAAGAAATGGAAAAAAGAAAATTAAACCAGTACCTGGCTAATTTTTCCTAATTTGTTGTTTTCATCTTTGTTACAGTGTTAGCCATAGAATATACTACAAGTGAGATCTTCTGAGAAATAGACATTAAGACAGATTTGTGTGCAAGAAGTTTATTGGGAGTGGTCTCAGGATCAGCACCTCAAAGGGGGATGGAAATAGGATTGGGCAGAGGGGAGAGTCAAACTAATGCACTCACAGCAGAGGCTTCAGCCAGTCTCACAAGTTTCTCTGGAGCCAGGGTGGCCCTTCAAAGATGCCCTGAACTAAAACAAGAAGACTGGGCACTTGGACTTCTGCATGATTTGCTGCAGACTGCCTCCAAGGAGGTGGCATCACCTTAGATGAGGTGGCTCTGTTGGCAGTTGTTGGAATCACACTTAGCTGTGCACTGTCAGCAGCAAACATTCTTGGTTGCCATGAGAACGGATGCTTCAGTCCTGAAAGAGGGTCTGGGTGGTGCAGCGCAGCACCTGCTGCAGAGTTCTCTGAGCCTTTTGTTTTCTGTACCAATTGTTGTAGAGTATGAGGGCTGTGGAGGCAGAATTCAGTGAACTGTTAAAGCATATTATCGTTTACTTGTAGCCTAAAACATTAAGAGTTTTGAAAGAAACACATGAATAATTAAAAAATAATAGATGATCAGGAAATGTAGCTGTTTTGGTAAGGTTTATTCAGTTACAAGCAACAGAGACTCACTTTAGCTTAAACAAAGGGGCTTATTTTAAAGATATTGTTATGGACTGAAATGTGTCTCCAATATTAATATGTTGGAGTCCTAACCCCCAGGATCTCAGAATGTGTGACCATATTTGGAGACAGTGTCTTTAAAGAGGTAATTAAGGTAAAATGGGGTCATTTTGGTGGGCCTTAACCCAATATAATGGTTTCCTTATAAGAAGAAGAAATTTGGACATGAACTTGTACAGAGTGAAGGGATGTCTAACCACCAACTGCAGAAGCCCGGAACAGATCCTTCCCCCATGCCCGTCAGGGGAACCAACCCTGTTGATACCTTGATCTCAGACTGCTCATCTCCGTGACTGAGAAAATAAATTTCTGTTGTGTAAGCTACCCAGTCTGTGGTACTTTGTTACGGCAGCCTCAGCAAAGGAATACAGGTATCTGAGGGACGATTAGGAAAACAGTAACAAGGACATCTGGAGCTATCAGACCTGAAGACTAGAGTGGGAGGCCAGAGCTGGAAGGGAGCTCTGGATTCGTGCTGGTCGAGAGCTCATAGCAGTTCAGGATCTTCCCTCTGTCCTCTGCCATTAGTATGGCTCAACTTCATTCCATGTCTTTTCTTTCTATCCCACTATAAACTGCCCAAGTTTGTCCTTATTTTCAGTTCAAATTCCCAAGAATTTGAACAGATTATCTTTTCTTGCCAGGCCAGGTTCATGTCTATGGACTAATTGTCTCTGGAGTAAGTGCCTTTATGCATGAAAGGGCGAAGGTGAGGATGCAGAAGAGAAGTCAGCAAAGCAGTAAAGACTGTGGTGGGGCAGATGCCTGATTTTCTATATCTCAGTATTGTAAGATATTTAACTCTTTACATACATTTTTAAAGATTTTATAAGCGAACACTTGAAAAAGGTAAATTTTTCATTTGCTTGTTTACTGACTGCCACAACTATGAATTTTTACCTAATTTATATTTTTTAGATCCATTTGTCTTCATGGGTGTCTGCATGGCAGGGATGAAAATCTTCTACTACTATTACATTTATGTTAGTTTCTCCATTAATTTTTTAATGATTATTGTTTTATGCAACCTGTTTTTGTGGTGGTTTATATAGTTAATCTGGTTATGTCTGTCACTCACTTTGGTTTTTAATCATTATATAATGATTCTCTTAGTACTTTCATCTTAATTTTTTCTGACATTAACATTGCAACCTGTGATTTTGTCTTCATTTAATTGAAGAAAATGATTAAATTTATTCATATCACAACCATCTATGTGGATATTCCAATTAACTTAGGATATTCATAAGCCATTTTAACTAGTCAACTTTATTTAAGTGTAGGTTTTAAAAAAGTCGGACCTCAGTTTGAGATTTGCCTTCGAGTCATGTTTGGAGTCATGTCATTTTGCAAAGACACCAAAGCTCTGGAAAGGTCTTTTGGTTGATTTATAAGAGGACAAAAATTTGGCCAGAAATTTCTTTCCCTCTGAAGGTTCTTGGTTGTCTTAGATCTTTGGACTTTTATCTCCCTGGACAAATCTGAAGTCACTGATTCATACCGTTTCCATACTGGTTGGATTGCTCACAGAATTTATTCTTTTTTCTTTTGTTTAAATATTTTATAAAAATCTTTTTTTGGTTTTGGTTCCAATTTAGTTGGAAATAAACTTTGTTGGAAGTAACTAAGACACCAGCTCCTTGCTCTGAAATCGAAAGCAAAAGGAAAGCATTAAATAGTTATTTTGCTTTTCCTCTTCAACTACAGTTTGAACCCTCTGATCAATCTTAGCATCATGAAAAGTAGGATAAAGCAGACATGTGACTCCTGATGTGACATAGTATGAAACAATATCCAGTGAAGTATTCTTGTCAAAAAGCGAAACCTGACTCTAAAGTTACTTCCACATGCAGCAAATACAAGGATGAAAGAGTAAGTTAAATTACAGCACAAGGAAATTAACACTCAGGTCCACAATTTGGGATATTTTATAAAACAACTGATCTGGTTTCCATAATAAGTCAGTGGTATGAGGGTACAAAGGGAGGGAAACTCCTCTAGATGAAAATAACCTTAGGAGACATAAGTGTGTTTGGCCCTTGTTTAGATCCTGATTTAAAAAACCAGCTTTAAAAAGGCATTTTGATACAATCAAGGAAATATGATAGTGAAAGACTTACTGTTAATCTTGTTAGATATGATAATAACATTGAGTTTTGTAAGAAAATGTCCATTTTTAAAACAAATTGGAACGTATGAGGCCTTTCTAAATCTAAATTAACCTCTTTTGTCATATTGGAGCAGTCTCATCTGGTTTTCAGCCCACAGTGCTACCCTGTCGTTTTCAAGGGAATGGCTGATGATCTTAAGAAGTCACTGCCACCCCAAGGTCTGTGTTTTACTGTTGTACCCCAAAGGCATTGAAATTAGTCGATGATCGCAAAGATTCTTTATAGATGTGATATTACATAATGCATTGCTTGTTTGTTTATTTGTATTATGTCCATTCTTCTTCAGATATTTTCTTTAGCAGTCATGAAGCATTTTGATCTTCCATTTTACAGCTTTCTTGCTTCTTCCAAAATAAGGATGTGCCAAAGAGTTGGAAGCAAGAGAGTAGGTTCCTGATGGTCACTCCATAAGCTTTCCTGGAGACAGCTCTTACAGCTGTCTGCCTGTCTCATTATGCTTTGTCACCAGGTCTTAGATTTGTTCTCAGATCATTACCCAGTTATCGTTAAAGTTATCTGTAAATAACTCTGCTGTACACAATAACTATTGGTTTGGGAAGTGGCAATGTGGTGGTAGTGGTAGGAGCATTTTTACTTTCCATGTGGCTGCAAATTGGAGTCATAATACCTCACAAATTTTTTGTAAGAAATGAAATATAGGGCAAGTACTTAGCTTGAGTTTGCCTTATTTAGCATGCAATAGTAAATAGTAGCTGCTGTTTTTGTTGTTGTTATTAAACTAATATCCTAGTTTTAAGTATTAACTTAATTCTGGGCAGACAGGTTATCTTTGGCATGACTTAGATTGACATTGATTGTGCCTATAGACTGGGATTTCTCAGCCTTGGCACTATAGACATGTTGGGCCAGATGATTCTCTGTCGTGGGGTGTTGTCCTGTGCATTGTAGGATGTTAAGCAGAACTCCGGCCATTACCTACTGAATGCCGGGAGTACCACCCACCTCCCAGTTGTCACAACCGAAAATGTTGCCAGACATTGCCGAATGTTCCCTGGGGGGCAGAATCACCCTCAGTTGAGAATCACTGCTGTAGATCAAGAATGTGACTTCAAGGATGCAATCTTCTCTTGAGCACCTTGAGAATAAAACAAGGACAGCAATAGTTTTGCAAGTTTTGTAGCTTTTTATCTGTATTTTCAGGAAGGACAAATGAGTTCCACTGTCTCTTTTCTAATTCAACCCATCTGATTATTATATTGAAAAATGATTAAATCGCCTTATAAAACAGACTCCTAAAGAATAATTGATTTCTCTAGTGCGTGTGTAGCAGGCCCTGGCTTTTGCCTGTTCTGTCCCCTTGGAGCAATAGACCTATGCCCTCTATTGAAAGATTCCGTCTGGTTTTAGTTCTTGAACTTAGACAAGAAAAATTTTAATCCAGCTTTTGGTTCCACTAACCAGAGTATCTTGGAACTAGTCCACATACTTGGTATCCATTATGTCAGGGCCAAGCCCTGGACAACCTTTTAGAGATAACGTTCTTTCTTTTTCTGGCTCTTTGCCTTATTGACCAGTGTATAGTTTCCCTCACCTGCATTCATCTTCTCTGCAGGTATTGGTCTTGCTTTGAGCTCCATCCTACTTTCCCAGGGCCCTACTGCCCTTTAACCAGCCCCTTTTTGTGGGAGTTGGTCTTGTTCTTTTGATAACTGGAAAGGAAAAAAATATTTCCCTTTTTATGTTTATTTGCTTGTATTTACACTAAAAGAATTCTTCCTTATGGTTTTGACAGCTGGCTTTGTGTAATCTGTAGCTCTCATTTTGTTATTTAGTAAATAAAATTTGATATTTTCTATTTGCAAGACACATGCTGCTAGAAGATCAAGAAGATGAATAGGACAGCAGTTTCTCTTCTCAAGGCTGTTCTTATCTGTTCGATAGGAGAAGTAAACTGCATGCACCGAAATAATTACAAAGGGAGGCTAGGAGTATAATAAGAGATATAAATAACTAGAACCGAAGGGCAGGTGTTATTTTGGTGTAGCTTAAGGAAGAACCTTTCTTTCTAACAATGAATGGAGGTAGTTTGGTGTAGTGGAAGGAAGCAAAGCTTTTGAATCAGACAGTCCTGGATAAATCTGTTTACTCAGATATTAGCTGTGTGATCTTAGCAAGTTACTTAACCTCTCTGAACCTCACCCGTGTGTGTGTGTGTTTTCATTTGTAAAAGTAGGTTAAATAATACCTTCTAGGACTGAATAAGATATTTAAAGCAACCAGTATAGTAACTAATGAAGAGGACGTATAAAGTAAATATAAATTCTTGCCATAGTTAAAGATGAAATAAAGATTTCATATCACCCAGAGAATCCACTTAGGCACATCTTTCACAGGCAACATGACTTGGCTCAGATTATCTCAATTTAGACTCTGGACCCTTAGCTTTTTAGATTATGAAACTCAGGGCTTGTCAGAGCACTTAGATCAAATTCAAGAGACTGACTTACTAAATTTTAAGAGACTTGTATATGAACCAGAATGTTTATTTGCAATGAGGGCTATTCATTTTCATTATTTAGAATTTTCGTTTTTACTAAACAGGGCACACCTCCTTAAATGAGTAGGGAAACCAAGTTAGTAAGTGGGTGGTGGTTTGAAGAGGCTTTGGATCACAACAAATGGAAGCGGTTAATCTCCACAAGAGTTTCACCTACTAAGATGAAATATTCCTTCTTTGCGAAAATGAGGGAGAAGAGCCCTTCTCCCTAACAGAACATGTGTTTTCTAAATACATGTGAAATTTACATTCATCACACCCAAAGTTTCTCTTTCTTAACAGTTTGATGAATCCACACAGCTCTCTGGCTTTTACTTTTTAATATTCCATGTTGAACTTTCCTAATACTGTTTTAATTCAACCAGTGCATAATATTGTTGATTAGATTTAAGCTTCCTAAGGTATGAGCTCATTCCTGGTATGTTGCTTTGAGATTATACCTAAAGCTCCAAGTTTAGCTTATTCCTAAAACACATAAGACATGCATTAATGAAAAATTCTTTTGGGGGGAGGAGGTTCTTTCTACAGACACCTATCTCATTCCATCTCACTCATTATGTGTATGCTTTACTTGTTAACTTCCAGTTTTAGAAGATTCTGGTGGGTAAGGGGTGGGATAGTGCTTTGTAGCGAAAATAGTTGCCATTCTCCCATTCTAACCAGTTAATTTTCCCATGCTGCTGTAGTAATAAATGAAAGGTCTATTAAACAAGCAAACTTATGCTTTGAACTGAGAATTCTATCAGATAAACTTGTAAAGTATCTTTTAACTATTTTATTTTATGATTCTTAATCCTGCTTTTTATTTCCTTATTGCATTGCTTGGCTCTAGTATCTAGATCCGTTATCTTCTCTCATATCGTATTATCTTTTTTACTTATTTCAAATCTCACATGTCTAGTCAGTTTATCTTTTGCTGAAGTGTTTACTACAGCATCAGTCGTGCCTTGCTTGCAATTCTATAATGTTGTTATCTAAAAAAATCTTGAAGAGATCTTATTAACATGAACAGTGTTCCTTTGAGAATAAATTGTAAACATTCTTTGAATCCTGCTTCTACTTAGTATAATTTTCGCATTTGGGAGAATTAATGTTTTTTCAAAGTTCTATTTCATACATATGGAAAGCTTTTTAATGGCCCAGATTTAATTTACTTATTTTTATGTAATTACCTTATCTTTGTAGTTATTAATGAAAATATTCATTTTCAAACAATGATTTTATTAGTATTTAATGAAATTTGATCAAAGGATGCTCACTTAACTGTTGTTCATTCCACTGTCTTGCCCAAACTCCTTCCAATTATTTTTTTACTATTTGTCAAGTAATACAGAGCATCCTATTATTATTTTAATTAGCATCTTTTGAAATCCATAAATTGACTGCATTGGCCAGTGTTACATCCTGTGTTCTTAACCACTCTGTGTATTATCAGAGGCCCAGGAGAAGTAGGGATAAAGCAGCCGTACATTTTTTTATATGAGACATGTTCTTAGACTACTCTCTGGTTGCAGGATATTGTTCTGTAACCCCTGTATACCTGTGAATGCTACCACGAAATGCTTTCAGTGGCTGGGGTTAACAGGAGACTCAGAAGGCATTCTCTCCCTGAATACCGCTATGTAAATTCCCCCATGCCTCTTTATGCCTGACTACTAAACATGGTAAATCTTTGCCTCTCAGTTCCTTAGTCCAGACCCTTCCCTTACTTCACCTATGAAAGGCAGACTTTAAGATGGCCCCCATGATTCTCACCTCCTGATATGTACACTTTGTTGACTCACTTGTGAAGAACAGACACAACAGAAGTAGTGAGGTGTCAGTTTTAAGATTAGGTTATGAAAATCTGTGGCTTCCATCTTGGGTGTTGTCTCACTTTATCTTGGCTCACTCACTCTGGGGGAAGCCAGCTGCCATGAGGCAGTCTTTGGAGAGGCCTGTGTGAGTGAGCTTAGAAGCAGATCCTCCGAGGCCTGCCACACGCAGACGCATGAGCATGGAAGCAGGTCCTTTACTGGTTGAGCTTTGAGCTGACTGCAGCTCTGGTACAGCAAGTAGCCTCTTGAAAGACCCTGAGCCAAAACTACCTATTTAAGCCCTCCCTGATTCCTGACACACAGAAACTGTGAGATAATATGTTGTTTTTAAGTTTGGGGGTAATTTGTTGTCAGCAGTAGATATCTAATAACACTACCCTAGGTTCCTCTTGCCTGGTGTGCTTCAGCTGAAACCTTCTAATCTTCCAAGTCCCTGCTTTTTCTTTAGGACACAGCTCAGTCCAAGATTATATGGTTTTCGTCTTGAATTCAACCAAGGGCCAACTAATTAATCTCTCTGGACCCCAGCCCCTTCATGTACAGAATGTAGAGATTGCTTGGGACAAGTGATTTCCAGGTCCCTTTAAACTCTAAAGTTCTGTGCTACCATATTTCCCCAGTCCCTTTCTTCAGTTTCATTAAAAGAATGAATATGAGAAATAATAGTTAGAATCAACCAAACTTTATTCACACTGGGCATGTTGGTTTCCAGGTTGACCCTGGGGGAAAGGCAACAAGCAGATTGGACTGATGGGGACTAGGCCTGGAGGTGGCAGAACTGCATTTGTCTTGCTGAACTTTCAACATCCTTGACTTCTAGAATTTCCCCTTCTCCTTCGTTCTTAATTGCCACTTCACTCTGGCCATACTGATCTCAGCCAGTTAGGGCAGCCCCAGGAAAATGAGAGGCAGAAGCATAATGGTGAGGAGCCCAGAGAAGTCCAGACTGAGGGCAGCAGAAAAGTCAGTATGCGAGATAGCTGACTTCTCAATCCAGGATTTGTAGAAGCTGATATTTGTATATACTCCAGGCTTATTGGTTTGGATGCAGTTGGATCCCCAGCTCACCACTCCTGCCAGGACCCAGAAATCCTCCACTTGGCATGTCAGGGGATCTCCTCTACTGCCCTAGTGGGGAGAGGAAAGATGGCTAGGCTTCTCACAGGATAAAGGAAAGACTGTCCAATAGTTTAGCCAAGAATTGTGGAGGCGGGGCCTGTCCTGCACTCCTGGGTTTACCCAGGGACTCTGAAGGTCTGAAACTTGAGAAGCACATTGGGGAAGGGAAGGGCTCTGAAAGGTACCTATAGGATGGATCCTTACTATACACTGATCCATCTTCCCTGCTGGGAGCTTGGAGCAGATCATGGCTTCACTGATGACGGACTTGACTCCACGCAGCAAGCTTTCTTTTTGATAGTAGTCACTGCATGTCTGGGGATCAATGAGTAGCACTTTTAGCTCCTTCAATATGTAAGATGGCTTCCTATCTGTAAGGTCAAAAAGGGTCAAAGCTGTCTTAAAAATTAGGAAACAACTTACAGCTATGGATACAGATTTCAGGCCTCTAATTTTCTAGGATAACTCTGATTCAAAATATTCTACCCCATATTAGATAGCATTCCAGTTTCTGATTTGAGAAGTTTGAATGCTGAGTTCTCTGGGACTGAACAAGGCTGAAGGCAGTTACTCCTGGTTAGATAACACAAATAACAGAAGCTAATTCAGGAAAGCCCAAAATAATGAATGATACAAAATTAAGTTGTTTAGCTTTGGAATATATTTTTATATTCCATAGAATATAAAGAGGTAATCTACTATACTGAGAAGAATCAAGACTGGTTATACAGAAATGAAGCTCTCTTCTCCTAGTCTGACTCAGGACCTGCTAAGCAGTCTTACTTTCCTGAACACATTTTCATGCTTGTCCGCCCTGCCCACCTGCCCAGACACACTCTATCTAGGAGAGAGAATGAAATTACTTCTCAAACTGAGAACTATCCTGTTTCTAAGTTCATTCCCCTGTCCTTTTCACTTTTAAGATCTTGCCAGTATGGCTAAACAAGAGCAAAAACATGTAAATAGGCAAAGATATTACAGAAGAAGAAATATGGAGAAGGCAAAGGAAAGGTACAGGGTCAAGGAGATTTGCAGGACCTCAGATTAATTGCCTGGAGAATGCAGTATATCTGGTGCTAAGGGTTAGAGAGTAGGGGGAGAGAATGTCAGTTGAGGAAACAGAGGTCAGAAAATCTACTTATCCTCACTTTGGTATGTCCCAGAATAGCCCCATCCAGTCACCCAGCAGGAGGTTGAGTTCTTCAGCTGGACTGCCAATGCGGGAAGGCAGATGGGCAGGACAGCAGGGCTAAAAGAAACTGGGTAAGCCAGTTCTGCCACAGCAATGGCAGTAGATGTGTTTCCCTGGAAGTCAGGGTGGGGAATAATCCTGGACACAGGTATTATTGTTGTTTTGGAGTCTGGACCACCAAAGACCTGAAGCGATCCCACCAGTACAGTGTATTTTCTGGTGTCCTTAGACCTGAGAAGAGAAGTAGAACAGGTAATATGGATTTCTTGTGACTGCTGTGGAGTGTCACAGCAGAGCCCATAGTTCTGGAGGTTGCATTCTTCTCTGTAGTTATTCCCAAGCATTGTTTCTTCAATAAGTGTTGAGCATCTCTGAGAATATAAGACTTAGCCATGATTTGGTCCTCATAAGGCTTTGGTCTTAAGGATTATGTGCACATGCACGTACGTGTGTGTGTGTGTGTGTGTGTGTGTGTGTGTGTGTGTGTGTGTGTGTATGTGTGTGTGAGAGAGAGAGAGAGAGAGACAGACACAGACACACAGACACACAGACACACAGAGAAAGACATAGGGAGTGAGAAGAGAGATAAGCAAAAAAAAATTACAGAATTTTAAATTATAATAACTATTATAAAGAAACCGAACAGGATTTTAAGTTAGAGAGTATAGTATGAAAAGAGTTTTTGGACTGAGTGATAAAGGAAGGTCTTGTTGAAGAGGTAACTTTTCAACTGAGTCCCAAAAAGTAGTAGTCAGCCATGAGAAGATCTATAAGAAAAAGCATTCCAGACAGCGAGAATAGAGTATGCAAAGGCCCTGAGGCTTAG